AGAGAGAGAGAGAGAGAGAGAGAGAGAGAGAGAGAGAGAGAGAGAGAGACTTTCCAACGTATCTTAGAACGTATCTTAGTACATACCTCGTTTTAACCAGGATTCCCCCCAAAGGCTCTCTCACTGTACCATGGATTCTCAATAAGAACTTCTTTTGACACCATGATTCCCCTGTACTAGCTGCTATAGTTCAGGTTTTCAAAGTTCCGCAAAGGCCCATGTGTTAAAGGCTTGGTCCCCAGGGTGGTAGTGTTGGGAGGAATTTAGGTCACTGAGGGGATGCCCATAAGGAGTCCTTAAATCGACCTCAAGCATCTTCCTTCTTCCTTTGTTTCCTCATGCCATGAGGCAAGCAGCTGTTCTGTCATGCTCTCCTGCCATAATTCAATGCCTCTGTGTAGGCACCAAAGCAATGGGTCAAACAAAACCTTTCCTCTTTTTAAGTTGATTAGCTCCAATGATTTGTCATAGCAATGGGAAGAAGACTAGCTCAGTGTGTGGTTTGGGGAGATTCCTTAACTTCTCTTAGTGTCTCGCCATATATGCTACAGAACTGTAGCAACACCTGTTTGTTGCAATATTGTGAGAAATAGATTTTTAAAATTTTAATAGAAGGTCTTATCACAGGGCCTCCCATACCATAAGTGGTCAGTAAAGGCTGACGATTGTTTCCCATTTGTCCATTTTGACCTGGAGCATGTACCTGTGAGGAAAGGCGTTGAAAGCAGAGTCACTCAAGGTGAAGGGAGGCAGGTCTCCTTCTCCCAGAAGGCAGCATTACTAACAGTGCGTAGGAGAACAAGAAGCACTCAGTGCTGAAGTGAGGTCTAGGTTGACTCTACAGATCAGAGGAAGGCGTGGTCTTCATGAGCAGCTCGCCTTGGGAGCTGTTTATCACCTTTATTTTTCTGGTTTTCCTCTACTTTCTTCATAATGAATGCCTGTGATGTGTTTGCATTTGGTATTGGTGACTCTCTTTATTTTGAGAGTTAATTACACTCTCAAAGAATTGGAGGTCTGTGTCCCAGGGGAGTTTCCTCTCCCATTGACTGGCATGTTCTTCCTTACACATCACCATTCCATGAAATCTAGGCGATTTTCTTGTCTTTTTCTTGCACGGCCAGCAATCACGGATGACTTTGTCTTCAGCTTCTCAAATGGTTTATTTCTGAGACACAATACCTTATCTGTAATTTGATGTTTCACTCTAAACAGCTTTGTGTTATGATAGAGAAAAGAGACTCCATACCAAAACAAACAAACAAACAGGACTGTATTTAAACTGCTTCGCCATCTATTCATGTAATTGATTGATGATTGATTGATGATTGATTTGTAGGAGAATGTCTCCTTCTACCATGTGAATTCCCAAACAAAATTCAGTTGGTTCATCAGTCCTGGTGACAAGCACCTTAGGGCAACTTTTCTAATGAAGAGGCATTTGAAAATCCTCATCTTGAGTCTCGTGGTCCTCCATAGCTAACTTATGGTAATGTATCTGAATAGGTTTTGCTACCAAATTATTTATCTGTTGTTTCACAGAGTTAGTCAGCCTATTTGAAGCCCAGGGACCAGCAGAAATAAGCAAAAATAACCCAAATAATGATTCCAAGATGGGAGAAAGTAGGGTTGACAACCATGGAGAGGCTGAAAACCAATTCTTGTACCAGCATTCATCTTTCTCTTTCTTTCTCTGACTTTTCTCAGGGCCTTCTCTGACCTATTTCATGCTCTCTTTAACCCTCCCTGTCTTGTCTATGTAAAGGCAACATTCTTCTTTAAGGGCTGTACACAGTCAAGAGCTGTACACAGCCTTTTCTATTGTAATAGAGTAAATCAAGTCCAATAAGGATCTTTGCGATTTTAGGAGGTCTCTTCGGACAGTGAAACGAGGGATTTCTTCAGATTAGTGATGTCAATCTCTAGCTGTTTGATGTTCTTGTCAGTGGTCCTTCAAAGGTCTGAGTAGTATAAGTTCGGAGGCCATCATCTGGTTACTTTATACAGGGTGTTCCCAAAACCCATCTCCACCCAACCTAAAAGAGGGGACTTCCGCCCCTAGACCAAGCAGAGAGGGGCCACCCACAACCCCCTCTGACTGGTGATCTGAATTCTTGCTTAGGCTACGAGGCTAAGCACTGCAAGGGAATATAAATAAAAGTTAAAAATATCTCTCTGGGTTCCCTGAGGGACAAGCCTGACTGCATAGGGGTTGATGCCAAAAGTATCCCCTCTCCAGGAAAAAGACATCAGGATGGGTATGGCCCTCACACCTCACTAGACAACAACAGGGGGACCAGAGCCATTACAAAGTCCCCTTCAATTACTGGAGGTCAGGCCTCTATCCCTGCCTTCACAAGATTAGAATCGCCACAGCCCTTCTATACTTAGAAAAGGGAGGAGATGTCAGGGGCATCCCTGATTACACACTGTAGGCCTAAAATCAGCCATAGGCCTAAAATCAGCAATAGGCCTGTTATACAGGTATACTAACACCAAGTCTTGGGTCTCTGTGGAAAAACATTGAAACAGATGGCTATAAGCTATTGTAAACAGGCAGCTTTTGTGGAAATTTACCATTCTGAGTAGTCATAGACCTTGTAAATAGGTAGCCTTGGCAGATAATACCAACTTAGATAAGGACAAGTGAATAGTGACTTGTCCCCTGAACCTTCACCCAGCAGATACTCTGTTCTGAAAGATATTTGTATCCCCCCCTGAACACCCACGCTCTGGTGTCATCCCCTTCCCCATGTCCTGCCTTTCTGTGTTTATAACCCCTGTGTGAATGAATTACGATTTGAAAAAAAGTAAATAAATTACATAAAAAGAAAAAAGAAAAAGAAAAAAAGAAAATCCTCTACCTGTTTTCTGAAGTGATGGTGGCTCTTCCTGTGCTGAGCGTGTATCCTTGGCCCACTTCTCAAGTCCTTCCTAAATCTAGAAACTCAGGAAGACTGGG